GAATGTAGATTTTACAGTATCCTTCCCCTGCCATGTCCACCAAGCCATACTCAGATCCCGTAGTAAAAAAATTTGAAACCCACCACTGGAAAGGAATGGAAGAGAGAGAGCAGACATGAACATTAAGGAGATGGTGGATCAGTCAGCTGACAGGAGATGGTGGACAAATCAGTTGACTGCATAGGCTACAATTCAGCCCAGATGGGAAAAATTACGTGGAAAGCATTTCCAAATACGTAAAGGGACTTTGCCTTAAGATTTTGGTTTTATAGTTGCTGTTCCTGAGCAGGCTTCTGATGAACTGTTTTTAGGCTTGTTGGAGAGGACCATCTCTACTTTGGCATTCTGAGTGCTGTAACAATCCAAACATTAAGATTTCCTTGTTCTATTAAAGACAATCTTTAAAGACTCAGCTACAAATCAGAAATGGTTGTTCTAATCTTGTCTCTGCTGTGATTTTTTAACTGAACTACTGGTAGTCCTCGACTTATAATAATTAATTTAGTGACTGTTCAGTCATAACAGCATTGAAAAAAAAGTGTCTCACATCTGATCCTCACACCACTGTAGAATCTCCATAGTCACATGATTAGAATTTGGGAGCTAGACCACTGGCATGTATTTACAAAAATTATAGCATCCTGGGGTCATGTGTGATCACTATTTGTGACCTTCCCATCCATCTTCCAATAAGCAAAGTCAATGGGGGAAGCTGGATTAGTTTAATGACTGCATGATTCACTTAACTGCAATCATTTGCTTAACAACTGTGGCAATAAAGGTAAAATCAATTGCAACTCGTTTAGCAACCATCTTGCTTACCAATGGAAATTCTGGTCCCAATTGCAGTTGTAGGTTGAGGACCACTTGTATATAAGTAATCCCAACTCGTGGATCCCACATCTTGATTAGGACTGCTTGTTAGGAGTTGTGGTTTTATAGCCTCTGGAGAGCCTCACGAGGTTCTTGTCAGGGAACAAAATGATTATGCAACACTGTGTAAAGTGCAGTAAACACTGAAATGGAGATACCAAACTATTCCATGCCGAGGATTGTACTTGGCTTTTGAGGGGAAGGCAAGACTATACTCCAAAAACAAAAAAATAGAGATTCCACTTATTATTCCTTTCTTTTTAAAAAATAATCTTCCCCTGGCACATAGGATTCAATAGCAATGTTAGTAAGAATTCCAGGGATCATATTCAAGGCTATATAAATCTCTGGAACTTCAGGATGTGGACCTCTAGCTGTTAGGTGCTTGTGTGATTGTTTCTATGGAGATTCTCAGTCATCCAGGTCATAGTTGTCCCAAAGATGCTTTTTCAAGAGGCAACTGGACTTTCTGGTTTTTCTTTGAAGATGTTTCGCTTCTCATCCAAGAAGCTTCTTCAGCGAAACTTCTTCAAAGAAAAACCAGAAAGTCCAGTTGCCTCTTGAAAAAACATCTCTGGGATTGCATGATTGTGGTTTCCATTTTTCATTCACTCCACTTTGTCATTATTGTCTTTGGCTGAAATGTTACTTGAAGCTGTTCTTCAGCTATTCTCATAAACACATTCAACAATGCAAGTCCCACATCAGAGAAGTTGGACAGTAACCGGTACTTAAGTCAGGCAAGCTCTACAAACATATCCTAAAATATCTAATGCTCTGCAATGACCTAGGAAGTCTTATCCCCAAAAAGCACACTTCAAAGAATGAGGGAATTTACCCTTGAACTCCCAACAGCCATGCATGATGAAGCCATGCATGGACTTTGAAAACAACTGTGAATTATTGCCCTTTTTTTTTGGCTATACAAGTAATCCTTGACTTACAATTCATTTAGTGACTGTTTCAAGTTACTGACAAAAATTGACTCATTACTACCCTGTTTCTCCAACAATATGGCCTCCCCCAATAGGAAGTCCCAGCATGTTTTATAGGCATGAAATGAAATTAAGCCCTCCCCCCAAATGAAGGCCTATATTAAAACATGCGAAATGGGGGGAATGGTGGGGGGCTTGCCGTTAGGAAGTACTTTTGTTGCACACCCGGATATAGTGCTGCCTGCGTTGACCCCGATATGAAGTGCCCCAACGCCGAGGTCAACATCCAAGCTGTCGCCACCTGCCTAGAGATGCAAGGGGGGGGAATTAAGTCACCCCTGAAAAGATGGCCTAGCCATTTTTTCGGGGCTCAAAAAAAAAAAAAAAAGACCCAGCCTTATTATATGAGAAACACAGTATTTTCACACTTACTACTGTTGCAGCCTCCCCTTGGTCACGGGATTACGATTTGGACCCTTGGCAACTGGTATATGACGGTTGCAATGTCTCAGGTCACTGAAACCTCTGACAAGCCAAGTCCGTGGGGGAGCCAGATTCAATTAACAACCATGCTACTAATTTGCAGTTGATTCACTTAACAGCAATGGCAAGAAAGGTCATAAAATGGGCAAAACTCACTGTTTTGCTTAGCAATGGAAATTTGGGGCTCAGTTGTGTTTATAAGTCGAGAACTACCTGTGTTGCCTATTTAGCCTTAGAATAGAAAAAAATCAGCCCAGTAGGCCTTTTACTGGAAATATCTATTAAGAACCTTTGTTAAATGAAACTTGCTCTGAAGTAATTATATCCATTAGTATAGGTATCTAATGCAGTTTGCTTGCTGCTATCCTTGCTTCATCAGCAGGAAGCGAACACTATACTGTCTTTTTTGTAATGCCAACAGCCAATTTATAACACCAACAGTTGCTATATTCTATATTTCAGCATGTCTGCCTGATGCTACACAGACCTACATCCTTGATCAAATTAGTACCAACAGAAGGTGGAAATAAATCTAATCTCCACTCCCTAAAACTATATTTAAAACCATTAAGCAGTTTTTTGGCAGGGAATTAAGAATGGAGTTTTAGCAGCAAGATTAGGATTCATCTGTACAGCAATTAAGCTCCTCCATGCCTCTCCATAAAGATTACTTTCTTTATCGACTCTCATTAAACAGAACATGCTATATTCTATTTCTGTATAATACATTATATTATACAAAATATATTATAAAGGTTCCCCTCGCACATAATACGTGGTAGTTGTTTCCGGCTCTAGGGGGTGGTACTCATCTCCGTTACAAAGCCGAAGAGTCAGCACTGTCCAAAGACGTCTCTGTGTTCATGTGGTCATGACTAAATGCCGAAGGTGCATGGAAGGCTGTTACCTTCCCACCAAAGTGGTCCCTATTTTCCTACTTGCATTTTTATTGTGCTCTCGAACTGCTAGGTTGGCAGAAGCTGGGACAAGTAACGGGAGCTCACTCTATTACGCAGTACTTGGGATTCGAACCACCGAACTGCTGACCTTTCTGATTGACGAGCTCAGCGTCTTAGCCACTAAGCCACCGTGTCCCTCGCTGGCAATTAAAAAAAAAAAATTAGCAACCTGTGTTCACAAGTAAATATTGCTAAATTAATGGGATCCATTTTCATATAAATGGGTATATGATGCAGATTAGAATGAAGCATATGCCTAGAATTATAGGGCTGGAAGGGACTTTAGAGATCTTCTAGTCTAACCCCCTGGCTAAGGCAGGAGTCCTTTCTATTCCAGGCACATGGATCTCCAATCTTTTCTATCTACCATGGTATTTATCCATCTAATATATTATATAAAATATATAATCTACTATATATTATGCATTTATTGATACATTGAATAAAGTTTGAGCCAACAATTTGACTCCTAAACCAACAGCCAATCCAAGAAAGATCCTTTAGAGTTCAATCCAGCTGATTAATGGAAACAAACTAGCATCACATAACTAGCATCTGCAATAACATGACCTGCAATAACATAGATTATTTCATGTTATAAAGTTATTTCAATAGACTGAATACTCAGTCACTGTGATATCAGTTTATGCTGTAGCAATGGATTGAACCCAGTTGATTGCAGCTGGCTAAGCAAACCAGGATGTAATATAATGTATGCAGCGGGACATAGAGAAAACCACTGCAACTATGTCCCATGCTACCTTGCTGAGGAAGGCACACGTCATTCTCAGAACATAGATCAGTGCCCTTAAATCATTTATGCAGAAAGCTTTAATTTATATTAGGATTGTATAGGAGGAGGAGTGGCAGAACCTGGGGGTGGAGTTAAAAGAGAGATCGGCCTAAAATCCCTATGTATCCACAAACAGGCTAAATTCAATTCCCCTCCCCCTGCCCTTAAGTTCAGTGGACCCTTCTCTAACTCCAAGCAGATACTAATCATTAGTTAAGAAGATTCCTGTGCATAGGCTGTTTAGCAATAAATCAGTTTAATTGGACCTTTATGTGTGGATTTGATCTTTTGCACCTGTCAGATTGAGGGGAAAGGAATATTTCTTTCCACTTGGGAGGCACCAAGGAGACAGGATTAAATCAGAAGTGACAAATACCATTCTTTCTCCAAGATTCTCTCAGGGACTTGGGAGAATCCTGCAATAAACTAACTGATTAGAGAATTCTGCAATAGAGTAACTCAGTGATCCCCAACCTTTTTTATGCCGCGGCCCGGAACCGGCATCAGCTGGGTGCCGCGGCCCGATACCGGCATCAGCTGGGCGCCGCCATCTTTTTTTGATGAAAAAGTGCTTCCGGTGACCTCACCGGAAGCACTTTTTCATCAAAAAAGATGGCGGCGCCAGCGCTTCCGGTGAGCTTTTCCAGGTAGAAATGGCTTTCTACCGGGAAAAGCTCACTGGAAGCACTTTTTCATCAAAAAAAGATGGCAGCGCCCAGCAACTAGCGGCCCGGTAGGACTTGTTCCGTGGACCGGTACCGGTCCGCGGACCGGTGGTTGGGGACCCCTGGAGTAACTGATTACTTACAGAAATAATCTGACCACAGACTGCCCATGTTTTCTTCAGTAACAATTGAACAAGAGTGATATGCATGGAAATGGGATGCAGTAGATTTAAATAGAGCACGTTAATATCCAGCACATCAAGAAAAAAAAAAAACTTCAGAAGGCATGAAGGAACATTATGAACCAGAAAAGCTTTCAGGAACACATTTATAAATCTCTTTCTATATAGTCTTTTATATAAATAATTCAGACACGGTTTGCTTTGATGATGGAGGGGGGGATTTTTTTCTGTTGAAATGACTCAGTGTAATTAGCATCAGGGATACAGCACAGTTTCTAAACCATGAATAACAGTGACACGGCATCCTTTTCAATTTTACAGAATTTGAGAGGGCACAATGATCTGCTGTTTCATCTTAGAAACACTTTTATTTCTTCAGAACTTGGTCATTTGTTTCTGTAGAAGATCCAGATAGATTTGTGTTGTTGGAGGGTCTGTAAAAATCACAAAAGTGAAGCTAAGTCTCTTTATTTCAATGAGGGAAAGAGTTTCAAGCTGTGCTGGCAATTGTTCCATCGTTGCCTACCAGAGAAACTGGTTTTAGGCTACGACTTCATGGAAGCATCTTGCCAATGCTTTGCCAGCAGCATCTTGATCATGGGCCTATCCTGCTGTCATGCCAGTTGCCGTGCAATCATCACAATTAATTTGCAGCTTTCAGTGTTCTTCGTCTGCTCCTCTGCCAGCTGAAGCTGAGGGAACGTAGGTCTTAATGGTTCTTATGCCCCAGGCTGCGGACTTCTGAAGGTTGCAACCATGATGAAAGTCAGTCTTTGGCAATGGCAAACAGCAGGTGACTTTAACCTCAGCATCCAGACTGAGCAACATTTCCACCAGAGCGCTTTGTCACCGACAGTGTAGTGAATATCTAAAAAGACAAAAGGAAGAAAACACAAGCCCATGGATATTGTTTAGAAAAGCTTTTCTGGGTATGGAAAGTAATGTTGATTTGCTCAATTCTAAGAAGCAGTTCTCCGTGGATGTGTGGCCTTCTACACCCACAAATAACTAGTCTGACTTTGAGATCGTTTTTCATAGCCAAAGCAGCACACAAGGGTCAGATATTTTTATTATGAAAACTTCTCAGGGTTTTAGAATCCTCATATATGTAATACTTTGGTCTATTCTTCATATTGTAAAGACTGATTAAAAAGACTAATGGGACTCACTTATTACCAAGTCATATTTAATATATCTTGCATGGATGGACCTTTTCATGTGTGAAACAGGCATTGGGGTTTTGTAAACCATGGTTTGTGACTTAGCAATTTGTGGAAGTCAGTCAAAACAACCCTTACTATAGAGGAATGATCTATTTAAATTTGCCCTGAAATTAGAAAAATGAGTCCTCTGATCTTAAAGGCTTTTGCTGGCTGAGAACCACTCCAATATATATCATAAAACACATTTTGGAAGATTACCCTTGATCAAAGAAAAATTTTACACAGAATCATGATGTGTGGCAGTAAAACAAGTTGAATCTTTAATATGTCATGTACAAATATTCGGCTGGACTGGGCAGTGTTTCCTTTTCTACACATTAGCTAAGAAATATTTTCAAGAGACCAAAGTGATGTGGGAGGAAATGTGGGACAACCTCATGCTCATAGGATTTGTCAATCTGAAAAGACATTCCCCACAAATAGAAGCAATCCCTATTTCACAGGAGAATATGGGTCTTGCATTTCAGTGGCAACGAATATGCTTTATGTGCAGAAAGTCCCAGATTCCATCATTTCCAAGTAGAGATGGGAAAATCTGTACCTGATGCCATTGGAAATCACTGCCAGTTCATACGGAACATGTGAGGCTGAGCTCTTTCAAGATGAACTTCTTTGGTGGCTGCATAAAGAAGCCCATGTTGCCTTCTTGGTAATGATATGGCAGTGGCTGCTATTGCATTTCTCCACCCTAGTTTGTTTTCATTTCCTTTGTTTGTTTATTTACTTGCCAACTTAGCTTACAGCCTTTAGCAACTTTAAAGTGGCTGGATTTCAACAAGGGAAGAATTCCCCAGCCAGGGAAGTTAAGTCTAGGCATTTTAAAGTCTCTATTTATTTATTTATTTTATTTATTTGATTTGCCAATTGTTTACAAGATAATAAGTATAAATGTATACATAGTTGTGAATACATGAAATGGTTACATATAAGAAAAATAAAAGAATAAGAGAAACAATAGGAGAAACACTGCCCTCTGGATTCCCATCCAAGTACTAATCCTATTAAGACAAATAAGATGGCCATTCCTGGTTTTTGTTTTTAAATCTAGGCTTAAAAGATAAGCAGGGCTAGCTGGATTACTGTAGATAAGATTATGAATTTTATGAAGCTCTGCTTGTATAAAGCATGTTCCTTGCACCATTTTTATTTGCACTTCCTTCAACTGTTACTTTTTTTTGAAAGAGATGTAGAAGACTGTACAATATATTGCCTAAAGGACCACTATGCATGGATCTGAAGCTATAGTAACACAAATCTAGAGTCCCAAGGGATGAGATTAGATCTCAGGGCAGCCCTGGATGGATCAGAAGAAAACTGCAAACAAAAATGTCACATGAACACATCAGACTGTGGCAAATGGCCCTTGATATCTATGAAAATATGTGGATTAGATTTGTTCAGTAGTCTGAGCAGTTATAACTTTTCACATAGTTCTAGATGTGTTTAGGATGCTTTTTCAATCCTGAACTCAGATAACAAATTGATGAGGAAATGACAACAAATATGATGGGTTGGCTGTCTTTGGTTATTTCCTGGGCAACCTTGCTAACACCAGAACATCTAAATACAGACAGGAAATTAAATACAATTTGGTCTAAAAGGTTCAAAGCAAGGCAATTATCTGGCATCAAAGCCACCCCTTGGAGAAAATAAATAGGAAAAGGATACAGCATCTCCATATCTTAGCCATGCAAATAAGTTTAGTGCACCTGAAAATACTAAGGATAAGTTTCAGCAGACTGAAAACCTTCCTCCCTCTCTGGCTTTGAAGAGTATTGTTAGTAGCTGCTGGCTTTTTAAATATAGCAATTTATTTATCTTTGCTTAAATCCAAATTAATTATTACAGTACACTGATTACTATAAAATATTTATTCTCATTTTTGAATAGTATTAAAAGATCTTTGGCAGTGCTAGTGCTAAAAGTTCTCTTTAAGTATAATAACTATATTCTAATTTATTTGAATGCAAAATGAAGTGTTTTGCAAAATTTCATGCCTAAAATTCTGCACATCTTTAAATTCTACATTTGCAGATCTGTTAGGAAGAGGGGGACCAGAAGACAATAGATCCATTCTCTTGTTTTCATTTAGATTCACATATAATTTCAATCAATTTTTTTACTACTCTAACATGTAATTTTCCAAAGATACAACTAATCTTTCCATTTTAATGTTGAGAGAAATCATCCAGATGATTCTCTCTTCTGTACCATCTGCACAGATATGTTGCTTTTAAGGGTTTTTCCTGGATTTCTCTCAACACAGGGCCTTTTGAAGAAAAGAATGTATTAATTTTTTTCAGTTCAAACTTTTAAGATGTTTCTATGGGAAACAAAATAAAGACCTTGGGTTAGATCAGGGGTGTCAAACTCATGGTGCTATGTTGTTGTCATGTGATATAGTGACTATTTTCCTCTTCGCTAAACCGGGGGTGGGGGTGGCCAGCACATGACGCATCTGGCCCATGGACCACAAGTTAAGATTGGATTAGATTGTGTGCTTTAATTAGTATATTAGTGATACAATCAGGTGAGTCTAGTTATGATGTAAGACAACAAGAATAAAAAGAGAAATGATTTCGTGTTGTGATTTCTTGGTCTTAGTTTTCAATAGCAAGTCTAAAATAGGTTAATCAATTAATTTACAGTTCTGAAATTAGGTACACCAAATATAAAAGTAACACCCATCGTATCCAGTAATAATCATATTGTCCTCCTAGCAACGATACGAAAGTATTGCTAATTCGGAGCAATACTAGCACTGCCTTCTTTCAATATATTTTTTTAAAAATTTCTCTATAAAGAAATTTCCCCTGCCCAGTCATGTCCAATTCTAGGGGGCGGTGCTCATCTCCGTTTCTTAGCCAAGGAAGCCAGCATTGTCCAAAGACATTGCCATGGTCATGTGGCCATCATGACTATACGCCGAGGCACACAGAACACTGTTCCCTTCCCACCAAAGTGGTACCTATTTATCTACTCACATTTGAATGTGTTCAAGCTGCAGCTTCAGGGACTATTTAGACTGCAGCTTCAGGGATTCACAGGAGAATTCACAATTCAGTATTGCAGAGAGGTCTCATGCTGGCATGAAACTTTGATTGTAAATGTGAAGAATTTCTGTTAAGCCTTGCAAATCTAAACCCGTCTTTTTTTTTAGCGGAGCATCAAACTGACTGACAGAAACTCTGTAGGGGTTTAATAGGAGACTTTTCAAGATCTCTCTTGAAATACCAAGGATTAAACCCAAGAGCCTTTACAGGGAAAACATAAGTTCTGTTATTGGGAAGTTCTTAGGTTTCTATTTCACACTTTCTCCAGCAACTTAAACCAGTTACAGGGAGATTGTCCTTCATTTTTACTGGTCCCAGTCAGCTTCAAAGGATACTTGAACCTCAAACTTCCTTGTGCAAGTTGAACACCTTAATTGCTCCTCCACAGCAGGGGTCTCCAACCTTGGCAACTTTAAAACTTGTGGACTTCAACTCCCAGAATTCCTCAGCCACCTTTGCTTTCTGGGAGTTGAAGTCCACAAGTCTTAAAGTTGCCAAGGTTGGAAATCCCTGCTCCACACTTTTTATCACTTTTCCCATTGCAGGACAGCTGACGGATTATAGTAAAGGAGAAGAAAAAAGTATTTATCAAAATTGCTGTTCAAAATAATAAAATGTCTAGGAAAACATAGTCTTTTTGCCAACCCGCACCAGATACCCACCTCCGCACAGACTGGATGGATTCCTATTGTGCTGTCCAATTGTTCTTTCCTTATTCCACATTTGATGGCTGCTGCAAATCCCTGTGTAATTTCTCCAGCATTGGGACCAAGCACATGGAAACCAATAACTCGATTCTAGGGAGCAAGAGTAGCAAAAAAGGACTTAACTGAGCTAATTATTTTGTCCACTTTGTCTAAAGATTGCTCATTTCTAAGAGTACTGTCATTGGACTTCTTCTGTTCCATATATTCTAGCTGGAAAATTGCACAAAGGATATATTTTAATTCAACTGGAAAGTTTTACAAGTTACCAAAAAATGATGCAAAAGATGACAACAGGCCATTCTTATCCTAAATATAAAGCCAGCAAGTAATTATCAGCTGCTTGATATATAGATAAAGCATTTCTTTAAAAAACAATGATCACTTAACTATCATCTCTGTTTTCAACCCGAAAGGCTTTTAGTTATTAAAAGTCACAGTGAGATGGTTTAAAGATAATGTGATTTGGAGAAGCCCGCCTGGATATTCAACATAACCTTTTATCTCCCTTAAACCACAGGAATTGGCTTGAGGGAGATAAAGATTTCACAAAGAAATAGAAAATCTAGAAGTCACGGAGTCTGTCCTCAGAATCAGGAAAGGGCAGCAAATTGTCAGTTAATTTTTATTATGCATTTTGCCAATTGTCAGTTAATTTTTATTATGCATTTTGCAAAAAAAAAAAAAAGAATATGGGAGGCTTTCTATCAAATAATCCAGCCAATCTGACCATAATCAACATGGAACTTGGTTTGCTGTTCTTACTCTTGCAGTTCTTGCAGCTTCTTGAACTTGACAGGATTATTACATAATCTGTTTAAAACTTTAAGTTACCACCTGGAAATATCCTAGTGGAATTCATATTGGATATAACTCCCTGGCTTTGCCTAAATGGGAAAAAGCACCACATTCTTTGAAATAAAGACAAGAATATGGATCCAAGGCACCTCAAAACTGAGGTTGGCCTTGCATGTTCTATAGCTCTACCCCCTCACATGTGATTGACCATTTATCAGAAACTCTGAGAAACTCTTATGCACTCCTAAGCCATATGTCATGGAAGGCTAGACAGAATTCCTTTGGCTGCTAAGACTTGGTTTTTCCTAAAACACTGACATAATAGAGACATGCTACATAATGGTATCAAAATCCAATCATTTCTGAGCAATTAGGACCTCACAACTCCTATATTTAAAATATCGTATATTCTAATATTTCTGAAAAAAATGTCCTGGAAAAAAACAGGCAATTTTGAATGGTGGCTCTTTATGCCAACTGCTGCATTTTGATGGTAGCATTAGAAAAGGGCCACTCAGCAGGACTGAATAAATGGTTCATATTGCTTGTTGCAGGCCTGAAACTTTCAAGTAATCACTTCCGATTTAGGAGTCAAATTTCTGATAAACTGCAAATAAGGGAATAGCTGATTTAGATTAGAAAATATATGTCCAAATTAACTGCAGTGGAAACTGTGGGAAGGATCCACAGAGACTAAGGCCCACTTGCCCTACCTAAGGATACAATAGTTTTTCCACTGTATTTTAAGTTCCAGCTGTTGTTATATCTAGAAAATTAAAACATTCACAGCTATTAATTAAATACTGTGCAAAGTTAAAGAGGAATACTATTTAATGGTTGCAAAGCTTAGCCAAGGTATTATTATACAATGACTCTATAATTTAGAAGTGGATTTGCGGGTGGATTTTAACCAGCTAATACTTTCAAGATATCATTGATGCCTGCCAAATGAAGGCAGCAGTTTCATCCTCAGCCCCAGATAGCTCCAATTTAAGGATCTGAAGAGGACATAGATTCAATTAGCATCTCAGGTATACTTTAGAGAGAGAAAGCAATCAGGTGGTGAGTCACAATGTGTGCAAAATGAACATTAACACTTCCTCTCCTCCTTCTGCGGAATGTTGATCATTTTGCAGGGGAAAAAAGCAAAGTGTTCTTGGCATACCCTATCTGCAAGATTGCAAATAATTTTTGCATAGCATCTGTTGTTGTCCCGGGATGGGACTGTCCACTCCAGTGGCCAGAAGTAACTGTGGTAAACCTGATAAAGGAAAAAAAAAGATATAGAAATACTGATGCTGAATTTCAGCCAACTGTCATGCTCATGTCAGCACCCTTCAACATTTCATTTAACAAAAAAATCATTTAACAAGATTTACTGAAAAAGAACAGGAACAAAGTTACAGACATTTCAGCAACCGGATCGCTTTTATTTTAGATCTTATTTTTTTTCCACCTTAGTTAAAGAAGAGACATTTCTACTTCTTAACTAATGGCCTTTCTCAAAACCAGTGTTTCTCAACCTTAGCACTTAAAGATGACTGGACTTCAACTCCCAGAGTTCTCTAGCTTTGCTTCTTCCAAGCTGAATTCTTTTATTATTCCATACCTATAGGGAAAATTTTGTCAAACTGAATATACTCTACTAATTGAATCTACCATATACTCCATGAACTATCAGGGAGGGGCTGTCTTCATCCTCTCTCTTTGGCACATAATATCTGGAGTGAATTGCCATTTACTCCTCAGGAATGCACCCCTCCTTCCTGGGAATCCACCTCCTCACTATATTCAATCGCTGCTCTAAATGGTAAGGAACCTGTTCTTTTAACTGATAAGTGAGGAATATCCAGATGTTCTTTCTTAGGCTCCTGACACACCATTAATTCTGATGAAAACTTACATGAGCATAAACCTTCCCTAACCTGATTGTCATCCAAATACGTTGAACAATAATACCCAATATCTCCACCTACTGTGGCTTACTGGAAATACTGGGGATTGCAGCAAACAAAACAGAAGCATCCTGGGCTGATGGGCAAGGAGGGATGAGGTAACTGGACATGTATTTATGGGGGGAGTGGGTCTGCAGGCTTAGACATGGACCAATTCGGACAAGGGAAGGCTTTAGAGAATGGAGGAGGCTGTAACATATCCCAGTAACTAGGAGTATGGGAAAATTTAGTGAAAGATATGGGACGAAGCCAGAAGTATTTTTTTTTCCTTGTGGCACATTCCAGGCCCTTGAGTTCATTCCCAGGCTCATATGGAATACCTTTTAGACTCTGGGTTGTTGGCTGCTGGTGCTGAACACCACGTCATTTGTAATAAAGTCAATAAGAGTTGATCATGGATGAGGAAGCTGATCCAGAATGTATCATGGAGAATTGCCTGGGAGAAATGGGGAGAGTTCCCCTTTCTGAGCCATGCCCCACTGACTTCTGGCCCTGGCACCAGGCAAGACGCCATATTGCTTATCAAAAAGATAAGTGCTCTGCAGGCAGTATGGTGTTTTTCTTTAAAAACACAGAATTAGATTTTCAGATCCAACCACCTGCTTGTTCATAGAAGTAGATCCTACCACACCCGGAATAAAATTAACAATCATATAAAGTGCAGATAATCTCAACTCAAGGGTGAGTAGATAACGATCATTTGCTTGTTTATGATCATCAAGAGACTTGGAATGCAATTTGTTTTTCCTGAATTTCATGTCAAAACAGAAAAGAAACCAAACAAGCCATAGTCTACATTAGCAGTTTCCAAAAATACCTCAATCCTATTATTGCCAAATCTTTCAATTGCTTTTTCTTCTGAATAACCACAGGCTCCATATTCCAAAGGTGTGAATACTGTAGTGGGGACGTTTATATAATCACACTGTCAAGGGAAAAATGTTTGGACATAAGCATTATAGTTGTCAGAATCACAAGCATATAATATCTTAGAGCATTAGATTATTTTAAAGTAGCAGCATTTAATTCAAGAGCAATCACAAACTTAGGAAAAAAAAACCACTAAAACTTTCCCTGGTTTATTTTCCTCAGATATTGTTGGACTATAATGCCCATCATCCCTAACTGCCAGCAATGGTGGCTGTAGTCCAAAGAGAGTTGTAATTCAAACATCTGAAAGAATTTCACTTGAGACTGTTGCTGTCAGTTCAGCTACCAATCACAGGTGTATAAACCTAAAACAAAAATGCATTTTTTTATTTCAAAACCTTTGCTTTTACAACCACAATGATAAGCACTGATTTACCTTTGTGAATGCTCCATCATAAAGCCTCCTCACCAACAACCTTCCCGCCTGAATTGCCACGGGGGTGAGTTCTGGTTTGCCCTCCAGGACATCTCCAATAGCATAGATGTAAGGCACGTTTGTTTGTTCCTTGTCATTAACAGGGATTTTTCCTGTACTAGAAGTTGATCAGATGAGAGAGAGAGAAAAGAAGATGATCCATATGCAAGGCTTCGGTTGCAGATTAAAAGAACCATCATCTCGTTAAAAAGGGACCATAACATACGCTTTGGAGAGAAACAATCTTAGAGAAAAATTGGTGATTGGAACAACAATGCAGTTTCTTGCATAACATCCCTGTCTGAACCCCCCTTAAGTACTACTCTTACGCTTAATTCAATTCATATAGCCACTCGTCTCAAACATACAGCTGGGGAGGGCTATAATTATTATAATGCTGCAACTGAAAAGCCGTATTTTTCATGTTTTTCCTCTTATATAATTACTAAAAAAATAAGCTCTGCACCCCATCAAAAGCACTAAGAAAACAAACAAACAAAAAAAGTATTGCTCAGGGTTTTCTTTGCCCAATACATCTGACAAGGTGAGATAACGCAAAAGCCTTAATGGCAGAATGTTAATCATTAGCATTTTAATTATTGCTAAGTTTGCCCTTTTGGCATATCCAGTAATAAGAAGCTGTAATTATGGTGTCATTCTTGCTGCAGCAGTTATGTTTCAGAAGAGAAATGTATGTTTCCTTGAAAAATTATATGCATAAAAACTTCAAGAAGATTAATGTTGCAAGAAAGAGACATATTATAACAAACACAAGAAATTTAGCCTTACTTTTCATTGATCCTCACTCCAACTTTCTGTAGGCCAATTTTTTTTGTGCAGGCATCTCTTCCTATTGCTAGCATCACCTGAAGAACAGCAATATTTTAATTTAATTCCACATATTCTAGGAAGTTTATGAGGATTTTTGTGAATATTCAACAAGGCACGACACAATTAAGTGGTGAAAAATGTATATAGTATAGCTGTTTCAAATAACATTAGCATGCAACAGCTTTAATGTCACAATTTCATGAACAAGTACCAGTGTGGATCAGATCACACTGCACAGTTGGGCAAGTTATATCATCAAAGATTTCATTTGTTCCTTATACTGTTCTTTGAGGCCTTAACATCCTTCTGCCATCAACACTGTGGAATTTTAATTTCTTATTGTTATGAGGCTGGAACGATATGAAAATAGTTAGATAAACCTCATTTGTACAATCAAAAGACCAAAGGAAATAATTCCACAATCACTATATCCAAAGTGATATAAAAATATTACAAAATCCAGGCCCATTCATATCCATGAAACCTAAACGACTGTTCCATTAATATCTCATTGTGGCCCTACTCCTACATTAATTGTGGCCCCATTTTGGCCACAAAATAGTTGTCCATCACAGCCAAACAGGAACAATGTTTGGCATTTCCTTAAGTGCTGCCAACTTTTTACTTTCATTATTGTTATAATTTATGTATATGTGGTTTATGTTTTTCCAACATGAGTACAAGTACACAAGTATCAGGAAGTGAATATAGGTAGGAAAAAACTAAGCATCTGATCCAGCCTTGTAATGTTCAAAAGCATTGAAAACCACCCTAGTTCTAGACAGTCAACTCAGGGAGTGGATCTTAAACATTAAAAAGCCAGCAGCTGTTCCTGAATTTTATGATTGAAGGAAGATCTGATGGAAGATCAATGCAAATAGTTCAGCCTATTATACGGCCTTTTAAATTCATTTGTGGTCCTCAACGTTTCGATAGAATCTATCTTTCACCAATATGATTGAAGGCATCCTAACATTGACCGAGGAAGCATCTTGTTCTTCGCTCCTTTGCCTATTCTGCTCAGAGGCATTTTACACAGTTTAACTGAAACTAAAATAACAAATGGAAAGTACTTACTGTGTTGTATTCTCCTTCAATTATTTCAGAGTTCTCTGTAGCCTGAGCTGTAACTTTTAGTAATCCAGGAGTTCCTTTCTTAATCTGTTCAATCTGCAATATTTTTATAAATTAAATACTGACTTCAAGTAGGGGATAGTGGTAAAACTTTAATCACAAGTATATTTATATTTTAATTATTATCTTGAGACTTAAAGAAAACAACTTATGATCATTTTTCAAGAAATTTCCTGCAATGGGTCTACCTGTCTTTCTTTCTGCTGGTCTTTTCCATCCAAAGAAACCAGCAGTTTGAACACAAAGGAAACCAATTTTGAATCTAGTAATACTGTATTTAGGAAGCTGTTCATGTGACCACATCAATCCATGACTCCTTAAAAATGGTCTAGGCACAGGGGAGGCAGCCACGTCTCTTGCAAAAAGATAGATCAGCCTTTTAAAATCTATGTTCTCATCAATTTCCCATTCCTAGTCCACCAAGAAACTTTATATACTGCTCTATTCAAACATTCTTTCTTAGCCTGATGATGGTTCAGATAATTGGTGCTGAGTGCAGGAAGAATCTGTTAGAAAATCTAAGAACAGAGGTCAGTAGTGTCCTTTGGGTCATAGGTCAGAATCTTACAAGAGATGACCTTGCAAGCTATTTTTTCCATTATTTGATATTTATTCATTATGTTCATAGCCTGACCTGTCCCTTAAGAAAGATAAGGCAACATATTTTCAGTTACTCAATTATTTTTACCTCTCCACCAACTCATGATGTAGGCAGGCATGAGGAAGAAAATGGCCCAACATTTTGAGCTTTATAGTTCATTTGGGTCTTGAATCCAGATTTTTCCCTGCCTATTCTGAAACGCCAACCACTATAATCAAATTGGCTTCCATGATACCTTGGAGGCAAACTTTGAGAAAAATTAATTTAAACATGTGTTCATTTGTGTCTGTAACATTCCACAGACACATGGAATTCTGCCTAATGCCTTAAAGTTGATTTCTGCCTAAAAGTATAATAAGCCACTTGGGATTTATGTCTGCCACCAGTGGCTTAACACATCTAACTACTCATATCATGAGGGGGAAATCTACATATGATGAATATTGGGAAAAAGTAATGCCAGTATTCTAAACCAAAGTTGCCTTGTCATTCTTTAAGTGTTCAGCCTTTATGGGGAAAAAAGCATCTCAAGGACACTTCAAAGAATGAATAAAGCACTAAGGTCATTTAGTAGTCAAGGATTAATCCGTGGATTCTGAGTGAGCTACTGGCAGTAAGAAAAGTAGATAATAGTTTAACCTAGTAAAAGACAACTTCTGATGTTCTACAATATGAATTGCATCGCATCGTCACTGCATGGATTGCATGTGGACTCAGGCATCAAACTGTAGAGAACTACAGATTGTGCCATCGAAATATCTGATTTTTCAACAATATGGTGTTTTTTTCCCCATTGTAAATGCAGGCTGTTAGGTGCAGAAAAATGGGTGTGCTAATAAGCGTGAGCAGCAAAAAAAACATCCACTGCCACATTTAAAGCCCTTCAACTCCTGAAAAACAAGTTTGTTTTCCAGTGAAATCAGTACGACATCAAACACACCCCATGCAGTCCCAAGGCTGACATTAATTATATATTTAAAACATGAATACTCTGTCCTCCAAAATATTGCTGCGCACTGGTTTAAAACATATGTGAGACATTGTGAAAGCCACAGATACTTTTGAAGTCTTAGGAAGAAGGAATATGAATCAAAAAGCATGTTACCATGAAAGCCACTTTTAAAATTATTTCTTTTTAGCAAGCCTTACCTTTGTGGGCACATATTTTCTTATGAACTTTACACCATGCTCTTCCATATGCTCTCCTATTTTATTTGCCATATCCTGATCAAAGCCCCTCAGGAGAATGGAACGCACCATGACAGTCACATCTAAACCAAGCCCAGCAAGAAATCCTGCACATTCAAGAGCAACGTAAGAAGCTCCAACCACCAATGTTTTTCCTGGGCAGTAAGGCAGTGAGAAGAGGTCATCACTGAAAAATATATAAATAAATAAACTTAGAGACAAAAGTATTAAGTGCATACATGCAGGGAAAAAAAGTAAATTCGTGATGAGAGATGGGCATTTTTTATATAACATAGAGCGGGGTGTCAAACTCAAGGCCTGCAGGCCAAATCTGGCCCACAGGATGCTTAGATCTGGCCCACAAGGCCACCCTGGAAACAGCAAAAGACCGGCCTGCAATGCCTCTGCCAGAAAAAACTGAGTTCTGAAGGGCCGTGTACAGCCTCCGAGCTCCATTTTTAGCTGTGACGGCCTCCTGCAATTCTCTGCCAGTGAAAACAGAGCTCAGGAGAGCTGCGCACAGCCCCCGAGTTCATTTTCTGTGGTGATGGCCTCATGCAACCCTCTGCCAGTGAAAATGGAATGGCCTCCCAAGCTCTGTTTTTGCTGGCAGACTGCTCAGGCCCCCACAGGTACCCCTGACATGAGTGACATCGAACTGGCCATGCCCACCCGGCCTCCTGAGGTCAAACACAACCCTGATGCGGCCTTCAATGAAATTGAGTTTGACAACCCTGACATAGAGGATTCAGCAGTTAAAATAAGATTATATTCCTCTTTGAACTGCAAATTTCCATCACCCCTTGGAACCATGGGTAAAGTCATAGATACAGGAATTACCACTCAACAATTGAAGAGTCCCCGGTTGCCTTTTCTTTCATCAAAGTTTTCTGCCCTCCTGAAGGAACTGGTGGAAAAATTTATTTCCAGAAGATCTTGAAGTAAACAGACAGATGGCTTATCTTTCCAGGGATAAAACTAATCAAAAGGACTCCCTTCTCCAAATTCATTTCTATGCCGAATATTTTCCGGTGGCATTTGGTAGAATTTTTGAATAATTTCAAGAAATATATTTTCAAAGACAACCACACTGGATGCTTTGCTGTTGTATTTTACAGAGACAAATATTCCATATAACTTTGCTCTAACCCCCCCCCCCCCCCCCCCAAAAAAAAAAAATATGTCATGGTATTATTTTTCTGGCATCACTGCTCTCATTCAAAACTTAATAACTTTCTATGAACATCAGTAAGAGGCCCATTTTCTAACTATTTCTTTATTTGGGGATTGTTGGTTATCTCCCTGTGAGTAACAACATAGAACCTGAGGGATAGAAATTGACTATTTTGGTCAATGTCTAGATCAGCGTTTCTCAACCTTGACAACATTCAGATGGATGGATTTCAATTGCCAGAATTTCCCAGCCAGTATGGTTACCTGGGGAATTGTGGATGTTGAAGTCCACTACTCTGAAAGTTGCCAAGGTTGAGAAACATTGGTCTAGATCACCAACATTGGATTGAAGCTAGAATTATCAATCTCCTCTTCCACTCTATTTTAGAACCTTTCCTATGTTATCTTATTAGACCTATTAGAAACTTTTTAACTTGCAATTTGATGGTCACAATTTCAGCGATGTAACTTGGATGCTCCTAGAGATTACCAAGATGGGCCTGGAAAGCTAAGTGTGTCCCATAGGCTGTATATTTTGAAGTAGAGCCTGGTCATCTCCCTTGCCTTTTCAAAGGTGTATGCATCAAGCTTTCATTTTGAAAATATCTGTTTCAAAACAGGTTGTTCCAACCATATTGGAAGGGCTCTGAGCTCAAAATAGCATTATTTTAATCTTGAAACCAGTGTTGCAAGCTCATAATGATACTCTTTTAGGCTCAAAACAGTTGTTTCAAGCCCGAAAGCTGAACACATTACGAATTTTCAACATTTTTCAGACCATTACTTTTTATATATGTTAATGCAGGACAATTTTCTCATGGCTTGAATTTTTGAACAAATATAACTCAGCTTTTCTCCTTCCCTCACCTCCCCCTCCTTTATGCATTTTGCTTTTGGCTGTACGTTAATAGACCTTTGCAGAAACTGAAGATGTATTTTTAATGGAGATGAGCAAAGTAAGTTCTACGCATACAGCCAACAACAAATTCAAAAGATTAGATTCTAAGTCATATGATTCTGTTTTAATGGTTTCTTGGAACTGTAACCTTCAAAATTCTCAGTTACAATCTCCAGGTTATTGTCTGAAAGTGTCCTCAAGTGCAATTTTAGTTACTCCACAATAGCATCTCCAAGGAAAGTCTGGAAAACTGGCCCTCTGAGGATTAAAAAGAAATATTTCCAATGAGGAACAATTTTACCACAAGAGTTCTATTAAGGAGCAACCTTGTCTTCCAAATGCTACATTTTACCCAATTGCCTTGAGTGCCATCAGGCAATACAAAACACATAAATTCATTTATGTTACCTGGTGATGCAATATTCTTTGTCTCCTGGAATGTTGAGATAGCGAGGTCTTTCTCCAGTGGCAATCAGAAATCTTTCTGCTGTGTAAATTTTCTCTACTCCTTTATTATTTGTTGTCTGTAAATAACAGCAAGTTTTGTGTCTGAACCCTGAGATAGGAAATCATTCTTCTTTTATAATGCAACAAACTAACTTTTCATTGAGCCAAGACTAGACAAAGCACTGTCTGTAGACATAGCTACTGACACAAATAAGGAATTTGCCCAAGGAGCTTTGGAAATCAATCCACATGGCTTAAAAACTATACTCAGATATTCTGGCAGTAACGAAGAAGGAAATATTCCCCATCTACTCTTGACCTCCCATGGCAGCAAATCTTGAAAACTCTTTCATTGTATTAGCCCTGTTGCAAGTTATCTTCTTTCTGTAGTCTTCCCCAGAACTATAAAACTAGCCCTTCTTTTCCTGCAAACCTTCCAGATTTTGTCTGGCTGATACTATTCATCTAAATCCAAAGTGTAAAATCTCTCCCCCACCTCCAAATTTATGGACATCAACCACATTGTTGTCAGCTGCATCCCTTATTTCTTTTCCATAGAGACTGATTTGGCCTTCCAGCTGAAATTCCATACAGACACTGCTGGCAGATAATAGTATATAGTATACCTCAGAAGCTGCCTAGAACTATTAAGGGATTCGGCAGCATATACACTTCCTCCCTAACTAATGTTAAGACATACAGGTGAATGAACCTACTTTGAAGATTCAGATGATGTCATTAAAAGTGATGCCTAAATGGATAGAAACTAGCTGGTATTTCAGTCTTCAGGCAAGACCTGGCTAGGCATCTCTTTTACATTATGCTGTAATTATAGGCTGAGGATGTGCTATTTTAGATCAGAAGGCAGTTTTTTAAGTAAGTAAAAACTGTTCATGGCTTAGAAGAGATAGATTATTTTTTTTAAGAAAAAGGGAAAGACTGGGCCAGCTAGCCTTCAGCTTTGGAGAATCTCTCGTTTTGTTTTAGAATCCAAATGATTCGTAAAGCAAGGCCAAACACAACAATATCCCCTTTGGACAAAAGAATTCTGACCTAAAATATTTTCTGAGGACTCCAACTAAACGAAGCTCCCATTTCTTCCAGCTAAAAATTCAATTCCAGTTATGTCCATGCCCAGCTATTGTTTTTTTACAGTATATGGAGAATTCTTGCTCATCTACAGTAAGCCATAAAGAAATTGCTTTGTAAGAAGATCCAGATGTCTCTGTTGTCCACCTTTGATACAAATATCTGATATCAGTTACCATTATTTTTTTGCTATGTACTTTTAATAGCTATACCAAATAGCAATAGCAATTGCACTTTGACTTATTTACCACTACATGGTGCTTTATAGCATTCTCTAAGTGGTTTACAGAGTCAGCATACTGTCCCAATAATCTGGATCCTCATTTTATTGATTTCAGAAGGATGGAAGATTTTGTCAACTTTGAGTCAATGAGGATTGAATTCCTGGCAGTGGGCACAGTCAGCCAGCAATACTGCATTCTAACCACTGTGTCACCACAGCTCTAAATACTAGCAGCTCCACTGAATTTCATCTCCTATACATTTTTTTCTCTACACATACACACTGCATGTGTATATTGACAAGTCAACAATAAGATGCAGTAATTTGGCCTCAACCTTGCCATATGCCTACTTCCTAGGACTGAGAATGACTGGCCCAAGTTCACCTAGCTGTCTAATGTGGAATTAGAACTCACGGTCTCCTGGTTTCTCACCTGATGCCTTAAGCACTACACCAAACAGCCCTTGGAAGCAGGCAATGTAAACCTTTTCTGAAAATCCTTGCCAAGAAAACTGCAAGGACTTGTCCAGGGAATCTCCAAGAATCAAACACAGAAACAGAAGAGAGAAAAAATTGGCCCCAAGACTCTATGCTGATTCTGGTTCCTCAAGACTTAAGACCTTGAACCCAGCTTTGCTTTCATATTTAAGCCAAGATCAGACAAAGGATAGGACACTTCCTTGCTGCTAAATAACAGAAGCCAATTCACTGAATTGGCACAACTGATAGAAAGATACCTCAGTCTACTCTTTCAGAAAATGGAGAAGAATCCATGATATCAGAAAAGCATGGCTTACCTGGAAGTACAGTAGGACCTTGTCATTTAACAGATATACTCCACACCAACTTCCCACACAAGTAAAAGAAATATAAGAGATCCAATGGAAAACAGGTAATGTAACAAAGCATTCAAAAGAAATCTAGTACCTTAATTGTGTGTGGTCCAATGAACTCTCCGTAAGCATTTTCATATGTGACCTTTTTCTCTCGGAGGGCCACTCTGTATCCCCAATTCAGAGAGCCAATGTGATTCTGGACAGCTTCTGTCAAAGAGCTCCAGCTATGCTTTATGGCTAAGGATCAAAGGGGAAAAAAAGAATCTAGCATTCACCTGTGTCTAACTTTCTGCAACTAAAAACCTCATTAAACTGTTACATTGCTATAGATACATATGATTTTGGTTGTGCTTTCCTTTCTGAAAATTATATTAAATTCTCCTGGGTTTATTAAGCTTTGCTGACAGGATGCAAAGAATAATATGGGTAAATATAGTCAGAAATATAGTGCAAGTAGTATAGAATCTTCCTCTTAAGCCACTCAAGACATTATTTCATGCTTACTTCAAATACATTATTACACAGATTGTCATCAGTTTTCAGAACATTTATGAGGGCCCTGCACTAAGCTCTATGCTTTAAGCACATTGGAGAATTGCTTCTATATACTCCAGTTTGGAGGTGGCATTTATGCCTATAGTATTAATTCTTTAAATTAAACATAACCCACACCATTCGTTCAACCTTCCCCTTTCTCCCTGCACTTTAATTTTGCACTTTATTCCCACTATGCATCCCATGCACTGTCTTTCTATTCCCATGTCATTTCCCCCAAATAACAGTATAATATTCACAGAAATGGAATTTTACATCCTTACGTTTGTCACCCAGCTGCCACCCAAATGCAGGTGCATCTTTGATGGCTTGCCCAAGCAAAGCTGTCTGGTGCATCAGCTTTTTAGGGATGCAGCCTACATTTACACAAGTTCCTCCAAGACCTGTAAAAGGAAGCATACCAGGATCATCCAGCTGTACAATGCAGAAAACAGTGAAGCAAGTAAGTGTCAATTTTGTAGGTGAAAATCTCCAACATCCAAGCAGGTGGGGAAGACTTTTCAGTCGTGTTATATGAAAGCCAAGCAGAACTCTGAGAGCCAGTGTGGTACAATGGTTAAGGTGCTAGACTGGGATCAGGGAAAACCAAATTCTAATCCACTTATCATTCTAATCAGCCAGGAAAGTTCAACCAGTCTACCACTTTTCAACCCACTCTACCTCTCAGAATTATTACTGTGGTGAGGAACTGGGAGGAGGAATTATAAATTCATTGAGCTTCTACACAAAAGTCAGATATGAATCTAATAAAATAAATAAATCCTGAAGAATGTAGCTGGTTTCACATATTGAATTAATCCAGAACTTACAAAGTCTGTTGAATAAATAGCAATTTGCTGAATTCATGCAACATGCTATTAAGTATAAATCATAGTTTAACTACAGTGCCTGGGATATTATAAGTCAAAACCAAGCAAAGTAAATGGTGGGTTAGTGTAATGTATGAGCGCAGCCCAATGTGGCATTTCTTCATATCTTATTTTTGTAATGTGCAGCTGAAACACAAAAATTGTTTAGAAGCATAAGCAAAACCAAAACTGATTTGGGGTACTTATTTGTACTAAGACTGAGAACCATCAACTTACCCCATGTTGTTCCTAAAGGAGTAGGGACGACAAAATCCAGAACCAATACATTCTTGCCAAATATGGCTGCTTCCTAAAAAATTATCAATAAAGAGAAAAATGTGAAGTGGCCATACCAGTGCCCTCCATTCCTGATTTTTCTTGTGTTTTTTTTCCTACCACCACAAACTGATTGATGTTTATAAACATTCACACAACCATTTCCTCAGTTTTTCTTAAAGGGTTTTTAAAATTTATTTTTAACAAATCTCTAAATTATCTTAAATTTGTTGATACCTCTCATGCATAAAGGATATTGTTGTTTAGGAAAATGAGTTTATTGATGTCTGTCTAGTAACTGAGTTGTAGAACTGTTAATTTCCCTCATCTATTTAACAGAAGGGTATGTTTGCAACTCAAATCTGAACTATGGAATTTTTGGTACTCTCTAAACTTAGTTGTTTGCTCATAGACATTTCATTACCCCAGTAGGTATCATCCATGGCTTATCTTTCTTCTCTTCTAACATCTCCTTCCGTTTTCCACTTTGAGGCCACAAATTATCCACTCTATTTTGAAAATTGAAAACATCTACTCTTTCTCAAGAACAAGTATGGTAATTGTGAGGATAAGAATGAGTTGCCAGTGGAAAAACTGAGCATGCCAATCAAAAATGGAAAATATAACTCCACTGTAACAGTTTTGGTACAATGCTCATAATATATCATTGCTATCTAAGTGCCATTATCGTGAATTAGACTCCTATAAACTGTAGCTCTTCAGATGTGTTGTAGTTGAAAGTTTGTGCTGGCTGGGAACTACAAAGCTCTGAATTGGGGAAAGCTGTCTGAAATATATATGCTCCTGACCCATACTGGTAAACATTATTACAAGGATTTGTTTAAATGTTAGATGACTCAAATCACCACAAGCCAATGTTCTCCCCAACTATACTTTTAAACTTTTATATTTATTTAT